CCCCAAAACCCCAAAACCCCAAAACCCCTTTCAGAAACACAGTGATTGAACACTATTATTCATGATTAAGAGTTGAGCTTGGTGACCTTGGAATACAAAAGTCTAATTTTGATCTGAGAAAGTTGCATTCAGGATTTTTAAGGTTGTTCATTCTAATTTCAACAGTGATCAGCATATTCTGGTGTCTCTCATTTGACTGCATTTCTGTGAGGATTCTGACAATTTCTTTAATATGCTTGTGTGGTATCCCTCTCAAAAACTTTATTTCAGAGATTAAAGAGTGAAAAACAATCCTAAAATACTGAACGAGAACTATACAGCTTAATGAATATAAGATGAAGATATGAAAGTATTTGCAAGTCAAAGTTCACTGGCAGAAGTATTCTGCTCCAGACATAAGGACTTTGATAAAAGACTCTAGACTATGACCCAGGAGGATTTTGATGCTATTATTAGCTCAATGAAATAACGAGATAATGGAGCAAGAGAAAGGCCTATCAAATCTTCCCGAAAGAGTAGAATAGCTACTCATATACACACCAAAACCACAAAGTGTTTAATATAATAAAATCTCAAATTTCTGATGCAAATTTTTAGCCTGGAAGGTATCAGCGTAGAATTTATTGCAAAGATAAAAATTTCAGTAAACCCCGAAGAATCTTCTCTTCCAGCAGATAATTAAAGAAGACGATAGGCTTCTTATCAATGAGCCAATAATATAATCTGAAGAAGAGCATCATCATTCCTCATCCAAACGTATAAGCACTTAACAATTCTATGAGATACAGAAAATACTTTGGTAAGTCATTTAAAGAGAGTCAGACAATTTCTTATCAATTTGAAGGAAATGTAAAACCTCTATAATTATTTTCAATATGACAAGGAGGGATACCAAGCTAGTGAAAGGAAGTTAAATCCCCCAGTATAGATCGATTGTTTCAGGAACAAGTTAATGAGGTCTATTTGACCAGTTTAGTGAAAAGTATGGAGCTCCTTGTTAGAAACTACTCATCTTGAAAATAGTTAAAGAGAAGATCGCTCAGCGTGATAAAGTTGAACTATCAGAGAATCAGATCAGAGATATTCTGAGTGAAAAATCCAACTATAGTTACAGGCTCAGAACTAAAAGAGCTCTTAAAGTCGGATTCTTAGATATAGTTGATAAAAACCTGTTCTAAATTGGGCTCTTAGATATAATGTACTCTGATAAAGGCACCCTGAATGTAGACGAGAGCTCATTGACATATCAGTTGTCCAAAGATATACTAAACTATCAAAGAGAAGAGGTAAGATTAAAATCAACAAGAACCTCGAGCAAAGTGAAGTTTAATCCTAGTACTAGTCCCTAATGGAATCTGGTTTAGTTATAATAGCTTAGTGCAATAAAGACTGTTTATTTTTCAAGGTAACTCTTAATCTTTGAAAGGATTCTTACAATTTTTGCTATTAGAACAAAAATGGATTCATAAACTTGATAGAGGATGCAGAAACTAATACAGCAAGTTTAACAAGAAGCATCGAAGATTCAATAATACCCAGAGTATTTCGCATGCCTCCTTATTGACTAGAGATGACTAGAGTAGTGAGAAACATTGAAGTTCTAAAATTAAGGATGGGCCAAAAATCCTGAGTACAGTAAAATAAACTTTAGCAGAAAGTCAGGAACAATAAAAATAATCAAATTGCTCCAAGAAATTAGAATTAACTCATGAAGCAAGAGTTATATCGCAGCGATCAAGGAGGTAAAGAAGAAGATCCTAATAAACTGATAATTCATAATTTCAAATAAATTCAATTCACTAACTTGTGTAAGAGATTCTATGATTTTAGTTTTACTATATATAACACTACCCTCTATTTCAACCAAAACTCTATAAATTGGGGTTTTGGGGTTTTGGGGTTTTGGGGTTTTGGGG